TTGGAGGCCATATTCTTGCACTTTCCTCCACACCGCTTGTTTCCAGTGGAACACACACCCGTGGCACTGGACCTCCGGGAAAACATCCTGCATGGCCTTCCAGGCTGCCGCCTCAAAGTCGAGCATGCATTGCTCAACTTGGACATCCTGCAAACAAATCAAAATGAAATACGTGCCTTAAGTTTAAAATACTTGGGTGGTTTCACAAATAAGGCAAATTTTATGAAGTGGAAAAGAAACAAAAATCACTGAATGAAGACAATTTTAGTTAAATTGGAAAATGTGCAATTACCCCTACGACTTCAAGTAGGCAATCCTTGACAGCACGGAACACCCGCCTGCAATCTCGTCTCCGCCTCGACGACATCAAGACAAAACACAGAGGGACCTGTTTCATCTCCCCGTCACGCTTAACGAAAGCGTGAATGGAGAACAGCTGTGAAAATGGCTTGCTACCACCTTGAATGTTCCATCCACGTACCATCATTTGCTGCTGGCCAGTAGTGTCAACTGGTGCCTTGCTGCAAAAACAAGATGTCTCTCCTTCGCCCGCCTGATGTCTTTGCAGAGGAAATCTACAGATATGAAAAATCAGATAAACGACAAATTGACAGTGATGTCACCATATACTCGCTGCTTCCCCGTCTGATCTCTTTCTGGTTAAAGAGAACCTATACAGATACAAAAAAATCTAACAAACGACACACCGATTTTAGCGTTAGAACATAGCATTTGAAGAGCAGTAAAGAGCAATTGAAAAATTCTCGGAGGTAAATTTTCCCATACCCTCATCAATGAAGTCTTCTGAAGAGCAGTAAAGAGCAATGGAAAAATTCTCGGAGGTAAATTTTCCCATACCCTCATCAATGAAGTCTTCTTGGAAATCAAAGTCCAGGTCATTGGGGTCCTGCGGTCTCAACCTCTGTCGAGCACGATTTGCTTGGCGAGCTAGGTTGACGGGCTTTGGCAAAGCTGGTAGGGGAGCATCCGATACTGTTTCTACAATCGCTAGTGATTGCAGTAGCTGACCTGAACATGCTGGCAACGGCCCTATCCTTCACCTTGGTGATCAAGCGAGCCACAACGTTGTTCCCTGGCTTCCCAGGGTGGTTGTGCTCGACCGACCCCTCTTCGAAGTGGTCTCCCGTCTGGATTACAGACGCACCGCAGTGGATGGTCTTGTTACGGACGGCGCATCTGTCAAAAAAAATTAATTGAGCTATTCTTAGCAACAAGTGAAAGATCTAAGTATTTACAACATCAGTAAGATATACATACAACTTAAAATGGATGGAGATTTTAGTTACAGAGACTAGCGATAGCAGCACGCACACCTGTTTACACAAACCGAAGCATTTGGGTAGAAATCAATTCAATTTCACTCAATCGGAAAATTACAGATGTGATTAAAAAGTATACAGTACCCCAGTACGTCTTCTCACCCCGAACCTTCTTGACGGTGTAGCTGTAACCCCTTGAGTCTGTGAGTAGATTCCGCTGCCGTTGTGAGGATGACACTACAAGGTCGTATGTGACCTCGTCATCCATCGGGAGGTCACCATCCACACAGTGTCGTCGTCCATGCTGTCTTCCTCAAGAGGCTCATTCCATTCGTAAGGGATTCCAACACCAACGATGTCATCTGGACCATCTTGGACGTCTAATGGTGGTGTTGGCAATTGTGCAGGAGCTGTTTCCATGGGACTCGGTAGTGGTGGTGGTGTTGGTGATCGTGCAGTTTCCATCTGGTGGGAGTTTGACGAAAACTTGATGGATATACAATGAGTAATTTTAAAAACCATCATGCATAATCTCTGCGTGTGCTATAATGGCTGTAACATTTAGTTTTATATATTAATGGCATCACACTTTTAACTTGAAAATAAGCAAAACGTCAATATACTCAATATACTGTCAAACCTCACCTCAGGGATCTCGGCTAGGTCACTTCCTGGTAGAGATGCACCACTGGTTGTGAATCCTCCAGCAAGCTGTAACACGAGGAAAAACACCTTTTTAACGGTAGTTTTTTTGTAGTAAATGGTGACACAACAACACAGATAATCTACTTTTGGGCCACAGCAAGGTGCAAGAGTGAGAAACGCACAGCAGGGAATGTAAATAAAACTGTGATTGTAACGACTCTCCAAATAAAAACAATCTCAGGGCATCTCTGGGCAGTGATGAGCACGACAATTATTACCTGTGGCTCAGCAGCAGTCGAACTCCAAAGAGACGTTCTTGGGCCGACGCAACAAGCACATTCCCAGGAAAACGGCCCACCAGATTTGACTGCCTCCTTATAGAACGTCAAAGTTATTCCTGTAACAGATGATTTTTTAAACGTGTTATTCTCCCTAGGTACTTTCGGGAATAAAGCAGTAGGCCTAAAAGAGCATCACATGTACATGTAAGCACGGGCAAAAAGGCATGTACATTTCCATTTTGAGTTGTAGATGTTTGTGTAGCCCATATTACTATTAAGATACGCGAATGCAACTGCATAAACAAAATACATGTACAATGGAAATAAATGCATTGTGAGGTTCCTGTGTTTAACACTTAAGGCTGTTTGGGAAGGATTCACGAAATTAAATATCGGTTCAAACACTGAAATGTCTTAAATGAAATGACTAAAATAGAGGGGAAGACGGAGATGGAAATTCGACGGAGATCTAAAAAAAAGTAAGGGGAAACTTTGAAGAAAGTTATAGGGAATGATATAAAATACTGTTTCTTTTCTGGTACGTTAATTTATGATGCAAATAAAGGGGGATTTAAACTCTTATTGCAAAAAGAATTACCTTCAGATGTTCACATTTTTAACAGAACTGAAAATCAAAATTACCTTGACAACAGCGTCGGTGTTGCCAGCGTTGACATCCGTCGCATTGCACTGCATGCTGCCGAGATGTAACGTCCTCTCTACACGTAATGCAGGGAAACAGTGGCACAGGCTTCCCAGAATTTCTCAGTTTTCGAGTTTGAACAGGCATGGTAGTTGAAAACCGTTCAGGACTAGATTTGATATCAGTGATGTCTTGGAACAAGTGATAAGTAGCTGACGAGCGTCGTATTTTTATGGAGGCACATTTCCTTTGATGTCTTATTTGCCGCTTGTAATCTGGAGGTTTTTGTTGCAATAAAAAGCCACAGATAGGCCCCTCTGATGTACATAAGAGATGCTGCATGCGTACAACACATACTGCAGATAT